TTTAAGAAATCATGGCATGCTACATAAAAGTTATTCAGATGCTTTGTTTGGAATAACTGAAGACTGGCTAAGTTCTTTTGCAGAGATAACATTTATAATGCACATGAAAAGAATTCACTGCAAGCAAGACAAAGACATCTTAAGCAGCTTCTCTATCTTGTATAGCACTTTTCTCTCTCTCTTTTTCCCAAGCATCATTTAGTTGCCCTTAAAATTGGAAGCATTTTACAATAATTAACACAGTACACCGATGATAGCCTCAATTCAAAGACTGTAACGAGTGGAAAATTTCAACGGAGGTTATTTTGAAATCTCCATCATTTTCTTCACACCTTGGCCTGGTTGAAGTCTGAATGCCTGTGTTTCAAACATTTCAAAGTAAACAGAGCCTTTTTTTTTTTTTAAAGCAAAGCGAAACAAAACAAAAAACCCAAAAACATTATTTTGCTTGATGCTTCAGTGGCTGGTCATCCAGTCAGAGGCTCAGAAATCCATATGGAAAAATACAGCTCAGTGCTACTATACTGGATCTTATGTTAGGAATGTTCACATGTGCATCTTGGGAGTCTTTTCTTCCTTGGTCAATTTCTTAAAATAGGGTTCTTCATCAGTGGCTGAAAAGAGGAGGACTGTACTGAAGTATGATTTTTCCATTACTGTGACTTTTTTTTTCAAAGGAAAGAAACATTTTTATAAATCCCATGCAAAGAAGAGCTATACCAGTGATGGCAAACCTTTTAGAGACCGAGTGCCCCAAAACTGGCCCCACCCCTGCCCCACCCCTGCCCCACCCCACTCCACTCCCTGCCCCGTCCCCACTCCACCCCACCCTGCCTGCCCGCAGGGCCACTCACCGCCTCCAGGGCCCGCCGCAGGTCGCCCAGGCAGCCCAGCAGCACCATGGCAGCCACGCACTCTGCCCGCTCCCACAGCATCAACTGTGCGTGTTGGGGCATGAGGGCAGAGTCTTGTCTACACTGCCTGGCTGCCATGTCCTTGGCTGAGTTGATCTGCGTGGGCCACGCTCGGGGGCGACTCTCCTCCAGGAGGTTGCTGGTGAGGAAGAGGTCGCGGGCGGAGGCAAGGCTGGGGCAACGGCACGTGTACCCACAGAGAGGGCTCCGAGTGCCGCCTCTGGCACCCGTGCCATAGGTTCGCCACCACTGAACTATACAATTAGGTTTACATTTAGAATTTCCCTATAGAATATTAGTCTTTTTTATCCAAGAATGATAATCCTTAATACGCAATTGGTCAGAAGGAAGTGTATGTGTCACCATACTAAATTATACAACTATATTTCATACAAACAATATAACAATACAATATGAAACAATTTGTATTGTTTAAAATAAATGTAATCTGGAAAGTTTGGTGGAGAAAAATCCAAACTTTGTCCATTGTAATATATAAAAAGAACAGTGCATTAAAGAGAGAATTATTAAATTAATCAGATTAAGGTCATTCTTTGACAATCTCCCTCAACACTCTTCAGATTAAAGGGCACTACTGACTTGAAGAAAAGAAAGATGTTAGCTATTTTCTCAATTAAAAGGAACCATTTGAAGTTTTATAGTTTTATATGGTAATAATGAAAATTGAATTAAGAAAATGAATACATGTTGCTTATTTCATTAAAATTCTTTCAGAGATTTATTTACTAAATAATACTGAGTAATAACAACAGCAGCAGTAATAACTATGGTCAACCAAAGTTGCAATCTTTTCACAGTTCAGTTGGCTATAAAGGAATTAAGCACAGTTTGTTTTATGCATTGAAATTAACTGCACTGAAAATACTTTTTCCCCCCAAGAAAGCATTGTGGAAGGAACAGTGCTAATGTAGGAAGGACATTAGAAAGTTGCAAATAGGGGAAGTTATTGGAGACTGTTAGAGAGAGTAAAGATAGAGTAGGATTGATAGGATAAATGAAGTTGTGGACCAGATATTGGTGGAAGGAGGATGGAGAGCAGAGTGCTTGTGACTGGAGAAGTGGTACTAGTGCCTATATCATAATAGATCCATAACAGATCCTTTCTTTTGCCATGAGCCACTGCTACTTTGTGAGAGTATGGATTTAATGGCCTGGTAACAGCAGAGAGATTGGTGGAGTTCAGGCTGTTATGCCTCCATGAATCAATGTAGACAATAGGAGCCAGTTTGGACTTCTTAGACTGAAGTTATTTACTGAGTCCAATGATTGCTATGGTAGGCTGTATCTATTCGAGCAATTGCTATATATGGTGGCCAGAGTTCTCAAAAGAATTAAACATCTGAAAAATGCCTGCACTATTTCTCTGTACGGGAAAAGGTAGCATATATTAAAGAACTGGTTCTGGTAATTTGATATGAAGTGCTTCAGCATCTTCTAGCTATTTAGAAGGCAGTGAAAAAATTAGGAGGACAAAAAAAAGTGTGGAAGCAGAAAAGAAAAAAAGATGCAGTAGACTTGTGACTGGGAGGTGGAAGGATAAGCCTCTGAGTAAAAGTAAAGGGTTTCTGGAGTTGGAATCTAGGAGACAATACTTACTAAATGGCTTCTGAGCATTTTCAAGAGCTAAGGTTTTGGTATGTAGGAAGTGGGCAGCTGAGTGCAATTAGAGTTGGATTGGAGATGGAAGTTATTGATAGTTGACCAGTAGTTTTGATGAATGACTCTTGTTTTTTGTCAAGTATACTCCCTGAATGGGTCCGGATAATTTGGAAGAGATGATCTGTAATATCGGAAGATAAGTTACATAGAAATAGAAGTGGAAATGGAAGTGGAAAGGATAGTAAGGGATGGCCATCATTGGCACATGGAGTATTGGAGTAAAAGAGAATGAAGGAGAAGTGATAGAAATTAAGGTACTGATGAGTAGAGAGGAACATGATGGGGTAAAAGGAAAAAGGAGTGAGCAACTGAGATCCATCCTTACTTCTGTTGCCTCTCCCATAGCTCAGACTAGGAGACAGCTTATCAAGAAGCTTAGGTTCCAGCTGCTGCTGCTGTTTGATACTGATAATACATCTCTTCTCATAATTGGTATTAGTGTGGATGAGAGTGAATACCAGGTTTGTATTACTGAGAACTAATAGGGGATGCTGATGATTAGAGGTATTATTCTTCAGATAACTGGATATGGCATCTTGTTTTTGAAATTGAGCTCTTAGGACAAGCTGGGAATTGTTGTTATACTGCTTCCCTATTTCATAGTGGCATCCCTGTCCAAGCTGTTGGACCTCATCTCAGCTTCCTGATAGAGTTCTCAGAGTTAAGCTTTAGGAAACTTTAATTGCAACCTCTAATTAGCATTTTTTTGGGACCAGGAGCAGACACGGCTCATGAATTTATAGCCTCTATGGAAATTATAAGTTCATTCAAGTTTAGAGGACCCAACACATGCAGGATGCCATAAGTTAAATATGGTTTTTTTTGTTTTGTTTTTTTAAATTACTGGAGCAGTTGCAATGTTATTTGAAGGTGGGGGAATTAACTATCCTTGTTAGGATCAGCTGACTTTCTAGTTGCCATGGACATGACTGATGTTTCACCTTCCTCCTATTTGATTAGCCTTTTGAGGAGGTGATAAAAACCTGGGTTTGGACAGTGGTGAATGCATTTTGGAAGACAGGGCAGATGGTGATGTGTCCCTCCTCAATAAGTCATCGCTCAACTTGTTAAGGCTCTTAATCTAGGATTCTGTTTGAAGAGCAAGTGGGCAGTTATGGCTAAGAGGAATTTTGCACAATTTCATCTTGTGTGCTAGTTATGATCTTTCCTAGATCGGGAGGTATGTTCATCATCACTTATGCCTTTATCACCTTCTCTTTGTTTATTGCAATGAACTTTGAAGTGCACCTGGGAATTTCAGCTGGCCCAGAATACAGTTTTGGATTATCCAGGTGTCAGGTGGTTTGCCCATGTCTGTTTTGAAAGCAGTACTAGTTACTAGTTTATTTCGCAGGGTAATTCAAGATGCTGGTAGTCAACCTTAAAGCTGTTCATGGTTTAGCATATGGATATCTCTGGGACTACCTTCTTCCAATAGTCTCTGCCCATCCCTTGAGTTTTGAAAGAAAAAGGTCTCCTTGGGGATTGATCTTTAAGAAATGTTATCTTCAGGGATCCTAAGGTTGGGTGTTTTCAATCATTTCCATTCCCTTTCTATTAAACAGCATTCTCCCTCATATAGATGGGCCCTGAATAACAATTTGTAAATGTTGAAAATCTGGTAGTCCAGGAACTTTTTAGGTTGTATTTATCTTTCCTAAACAGTAAACACATGTATAGATTACAACTGTTCATTGCCATCTGGGTAATTTATACTATGCTATTGTTGTGTTCTTAATTTTTAATCTTATTAATATTTCAAGACGTGAAGTCTACTCAGTGTAAGACATTATTGGAAAGACATGTCAACCTATAAAATAAATGAACAAAATAAAGAAAGGCTAAAATGTGGCTAAGTTGTAGTTGTTGAATTTTGTTTAGTAATCTATTTACAATAGAAAATGGTAGAAATTGTGAGAAAATATGTTTTTCAATGTTATACCCACTTTAAAAACTCTAAAATGACATAACTAACCAAATATTTGTTTGGTTATTTGTTACAAGGTATTTATTACAGAAATCAGGAAGTGTGCATTTTGTGAATTCCCATTTTATTTTACAAGGCATAGAGGTTTCCCTTAAAAATGACAATGTCAACAATAAAAACAACATCATGGCAAAAATGAATGAGGGTACAGTTATATAAAATAAAGTTTTCTCTCTTTTTTTCAAAACTTTCAATTCTTGTTTATAGTATATTGCATTTTACAGAGATTAACTGAAAGACTGAATATGATGTTTTAAAAAGCAATGTCCAAAGCAGTCTAATTATGTGAAAATGTTCTATATTCATTTGAAATAGTTAGAATCCTAAAGATTACTTCCTGAATTCAACCAAAGCAAGCATTTAGTAGATAATGAGGTAAATATTTGGCTTCCCTCAAAGAGTAGAAAAAATAAACTTACCATAATTGTAGTTACAATTACTGTTCTGTTCTCAAGGGCAGCTGTGTCATTGCCCATTGTAGGCTCATGTTGAATCAAGACTAATTTATCCATGTCATTCCAGTATCCAATCTGTAATAAACAAATACAGAAGCTAACTTTCTACTCACTGTTGATGAGGTCAACCATGATAGTTTGTTCAAATGTAGTTTAAATATTGGAACTGACACAATCCACTCTGCCACCACTATACTGTGGTCATTAGTTGGCAAATACTTTATCTCCTGGTTGTCTTTTGGCCCAGCTATATTTTGATGAGTTATTCTTTTGCAAGGTATAAAGAAGCAGATTTTACATAAGCTCAAATTCTATCCTATTAAAACATCTTTTTATCTAGACAACTTTCAAGAGTAATTTTAAATTGGTCTCTGCTATGATTCCATGACTTGAATCTATGATTCCATGTACATATTACATCATACAAAATCATGCAAAATCATAGTGATAGCAAATAAAAGTTTATTTCAGATTCCCATTTATATCTGATATATCTATCTATCTATCTATCTATCTATCTATCTATCTATCTATCTATCTATCTATCTATCTATCTATCCAGGTATAAATTAACTGATATAAAACTTTTATTTGCTGTCACTGTGGGAACTAAGCTGTATAATATGCTGTTTAATTCATACGGAGTGTCACTGTCTGCATTGTTTTGCTTATGGTTTCAGGGGATAAACATAATTGACTTCTGATACAGTATCATTTTACACGATGGCTCCAATATTTACCTGGGTTTTTCTCATTTGTTTCCTGTCTCTAATGATCCATTGCTGGTGCCTCTCCTCTCTTCATTGACAAACAAACACAAGAGTTTTTCTCTTTTTCTTGTGCACTTTTATTTCCTTGAATATCTACAAAATGTTATTAATCTGAGAGCTTCATTCCCTCTGAAGTGCTCAGAGATGTAAACCTTTCCTCACAATAGGAAATAAATAAATAATGATAAGGCCATTCTAAATTGTTTATTTAACAGGTGATTATTTCTCCAGTAACCATGAAAAGAACTAGAATTCGGACTTCTTGCTTATCTTAACTTGTGTTTCTATTCTGTTTTTTATGGCACTATTTTTGATAGGTTGGTCTGTAAAAGGAAAAGTCCCTTTTACATTACATTTTACCAATGAAGGAGAATAATTGAAGCTCAGGGTTGAAATGAAGGGTCCTTGGTGCTCTCTGAGCTTGCTTGTTTTCTTGCAAACGTGACTAGCACTGATGATGTTACCTAGTTAGAGTAATGAAACATTTGCAAGAAAACAAGCAAACTCAGAGAGCACCAAGGACCCTTCACAATACATTTTAAATCTCAAGCCATAGCTTCACTCCTCCCTGGATAATTATCAGTTAAAACAGAGAGGTGGGAGAACCCAGCCAGCTGTAAATACAACTTTAACTGTAAATAGCCTTGCTAACTTGCCACATAATGTGATTGGGGAAAAAAAGCAGATACTACTTGTTCTCAAGAGATGTTTGGCACAATGTCTTTCATTAAATTCAAGGACTCATTAGGGAAAGGTGTACATGAGAGTATTAACAAAACCCAAGCCAGAAATATAATAACAGCCCTGTGAAAAGTTTTTTAAAAAAACGAGATGGATTCAGCTCAATCCATGCAATTTTAGTATAGATTTGCTTTGTAATATTTAATGTACTGGGATTCTAGTTATTATATCATCTTCATTTAAAAAATGTTGTCTATTTTTTAATTATAAAACTGAATGTATATATTTCAGTTTAAGGAACTGGCTGTAATTGATAATATTTTCTTTTGATTTTCACATAGGTGAAAAAATGTGCTCTCTTCTATGCAATGTTCTAAAAGGGGGAATAAAACAAACAGACATCACTTGGTGTTTGAAAAATAGGATGATGTAAACTGGGCAGACAGATTAGGAATTTAATTGCAGGAATGAAAACATGAACCACTGTGAATGTTTTTTTTTAAAGATATTAAAAAGTTTGGTGATAAAAATGTGTGCGTTTTCTCCTGCCCTTAAAAGTTCTGATGCATGAGAAGAAAAGGAATGTCCTAAATTGAAATTGCTGAAGGAACGATAAATCATAGTACATAAACCATAGGAAGCAAGGATATTTCTTGGCACTAAAATTAAAAGCCTATAACTTTTTTTTTTCTGATGACCTATCCTTGTACAGAACATTGATGTCAGAAATGAAGTATCGGGCTTTGGAGGACACCGATTCTAGATGGTTGATGTTTGACTTCAACTTTTACATCAGGCAACCATCAACAAAGTATATAACCAAATGAAAAGGGATTACTATATGTTAAGTCACAAGTATAGAACATATTTGAAAAATAAGAGGAAACTCAGTTTCTTGTGTTTCAGCAAACTGCAAATTGGTCCAGTGATTGAGTCTCTAGCTAGAAGTTCTGAATTCTAGTCCTGTCTTAGGCATGAAAGCAGCTGGGGCCCAAACATTCTCTGTCCATCCAACCCACCTCACAGGGTTGTTGTGTGGAAAATAGGAGGAGGAAGATGTGTTGGATATGTTCACTGCCTTGAACTTTTTGTAATAATAATAAAGGTGAGATACAAATAAACAAAGTAATCTCCATGAGCACATTACATCTGTCACCTCTTATTGGACTCTAATTACAAATGAAACGAAAGAGCAAATACTCTTAATATTCTAGATCTTTTATTCTGAAACTTCTTATTCAAAAATAAACAAATAAATAAAGGAAATAAGTTCATTGAAACATTTGAATTGTCCAAAAGTGTTTATGTAATGAACTATTTTACTTCCAGGTTCCTTTATTTTTCTTTGTATTTCTAACTTACACCTTGTGATTTTTTTTACCATTATTATGAAAACAAAAAGCCCAGCAAACAAAGAAGTTTGCTCTTATGACAGAAAAAGATGCTGTGCCTTGTCATATGAAATATTGCATGCTTATATTCTAATAACAGAGTATTATTAAAAAATGGGGGGTACTGAAAACATAATTTGATTTATTAGGTAAACTGAGTTTTAGTAACAATTTCTTTAGACATCAGACACATAGGGATGAACTAAACTAATAATACACAATTAGAACATACCTTTCGAGGACCAGTGCTCTTCAGTTCAAATACATCCATCGAATAGTTGACTCTGCGACCATAGTGGTCAAATTGAACATTTCCAGTCAGTCCCTGTATTCGAACCTTCAAATTGGAAATCAAATTAAAATATGGATTAGTGATAAAGTGCTTATTCATTAGAAGATGTTGTATAGAAGTAAATCTTGTCCACAGGATTGTTGATTAAGGGACATGTTAATTGTTTACCCAAATTCATTTTTCTACCCCTAGATTCTCTCCAAAGTTTTAATAAAATGACAGAAGAGCTTAGCAATCTCTGTGTACTTTTGGTATTTAACACTTTTTCTTCAAAAATCTTTATAAGGACATATCCATCCCACCCCATCCCATTCTGGAGTCTGAGTTTAGACTGAATCCAAAGCAGCAGATGTAAATGCCAGGTCCATATCAGGTTTTCTGTCCTGGAAATGTTTAAATGAAGGATAGTCAGTGCATAGTCCATGGATTATATATAGCCAATTTTTAAAATCACCTTTATAGTGTCTCAGGATGAAAATTCAATAGCAAATTTCTGTACGTAAATAAAGACTAGCAATTTCTGTACGTAAATAAAGACTAGCAATTTCTGTACGTAAATAAAGACCAATGTGAAAAGTGACAAATGCCCAAATATCTCATTGTTTTGCAGCACTCAGTTGTCTACAACAGGGGTCCCCAAACCCCAGTCTGTGGACCAGTACCGGGCTGCGGCATGCCAGCAACTGGTCCGCACAAACAAGCAAAGCCTCATCCGCGGGATGCAGGCAGCAGACAAAACCACGCCCCCTCCGGTCCATGGAAAAACCTCTCTCCACGTAACCGGTCCCTGGTGCCCAAAAGATTGAGGACCTCTGGTCTACAATATTTGACAATACAGTATTTGATTGCTACATTATACTGGTTAATGATGTAAAATAGGAGGGAGAAAAGAACAATACAAAAAATTTCTCCCCAGAAAATGAATTTTTTATAGTCTCTTCAGGTTTTTTTTTCCTTTTCCTTGACCTAACCAATTCTCTGTGAAAAGAAAGCCTAAAAAACCCTCAGTCTGGATTTGGAAATGTTTTAACTCTCTATATTTATCAGAATATGGAGATCTTTGTCAGTTGAAAAATTCTTCTGTTTTATTTAATTCTTAAATGGTATACTAAAGCAGAAAAAAATAGAGATTATTTAGAATTGTGAATTATCACAAAAGTTAAATAAATCTTCAGGGTGGCAGAAATGTATTTGACATGCAGCACTGAAAAACATAAAATAATTATTCGATAAAAATATAAACCTTTTAATTTATTTTATCATTGTGATGTGAAATAAGCTCATGTACATTTTCTGCATTCATCTCTCTCAGCAATAATTTTTTTTATTCATAACTTTGAAAAAAACCCTGGCTTCCATTCAACATGGAATGGATTAATATTGCCCACTCCAACAAAATGTTATCCTATCTTTTTATTTAGATTTATATTCCCCACTTCCTTGAGAAGTTCAAGGAGATATACAAATCAGTCTCATTCAGATTTTCTCTCATGAGAACTCCTCAAATAGGGTTGGGCTGAAAAAGCATAGCTGGAACAATCATACAGTGGATTACTATAGCTTAGAATGAATCTTCCAGAGCTAACATTATTTACACTCCAGGAAATTTCATCTGAATGACAAATGCAAAATGAATGGGGGGGGGGGGGAGCTGCAAGAATTGACCCTTTTGTCAAAATGAAAAAAGCAGCATTGATTCATTCACAAAAGGATTGGAGTTTGTGCTGCATTGTTGTTTTATCCATTGGTGCTGCCAGCCCCCCCCCCCCATTTCATTCTGTTTGTATCAGTGGTGAAAATGTATTTATTTATTTATTAAATTTGTTTGCTACCTACCTCTGTTCAGGTTGCTTATCTCCCAGTTTTAAAAACACAGGAGATGAAAAAAACAACAACATGGCCCAACATGGGCTAATTGCCTTCCATAACAGGTCATGAATAGCTTTTGTTGCCAAATTTCCTTAGGTAGTTGCATATTTCAGAACACACACACACACACACATATTTATACAAGGTGAAGGAGAGCACCATTAATCTGAATTTCTTAAAAGCTATTAATGAACAGCTTTGGTGTGTGACTGACCTAGAGACAAACAATTGTACTTGAATCCCAAATGTCTTTCAGCTGCTTATTTTCCATTTTCAATTGTGAATGTTCATTAACTCATTGGTCTAAGGGCAAATGACATAACAATTGAAAAACAAACTAAGTATATTATAGCATACATAAATACAGGTAGTCCTCAACTTATGACCACAACTGAGCCCAAAATTTCTGTTGCTAAGCGAGACATTTGCTAAGTGAATTTTGCCCTATTTTATGACCTTGCCACAGCTGTTAAATGAATAACAATGCAGTTGTTAATTTAGTAATATGGTTGTTAAGTGATTCTGGCTTCCCCATTGACTTTGCTTGTCAGAAGGTCACAAAAGGCGATTACATGATCCTGCAATTGTCATAAATATGAGTCAGTTGCCAAACAACACGTGACCAGGGGGGTGCTGCGACAGTTGTGTGTAAAATGGTCATAATTCACTTATTTCAGTGCCGTTGTAACTTCGAAAGTTCAGAAAATGAACAATTGTAAGTTTATTTATTTATTTATTTATTTATTGTTCGAATTTATATCCCGCCCTTCTCCTTGCGGACTCAGGGCGGCTGACAATCAATTAAAAACACCAATAACAACACAAAATTTAAAATTAATTAAAATGAAATATTTAACTTGTCTAATTTAAAATATAATTAAAAACTCCTCTAAAAACCCCTCTTAAAAATTACCCTAGNATTGACCCTTTTGTCAAAATGAAAAAAGCAGCATTGATTCATTCACAAAAGGATTGGAGTTTGTGCTGCATTGTTGTTTTATCCATTGGTGCTGCCAGGCCCCCCCCCCCCCCCATTTCATTCTGTTTGTATCAGTGGTGAAAATGTATTTATTTATTTATTAAATTTGTTTGCTACCTACCTCTGTTCAGGTTGCTTATCTCCTAGTTTTAAAAACACAGGAGATGAAAAAAACAACAACATGGCCCAACATGGCCTAATTGCCTTCCATAACAGGTCATGAATAGCTTTTGTTGCCAAATTTCCTTAGGTAGTTGCATATTTCAGAACACACACACACACATATTTATACAAGGTGAAGGAGAGCACCATTAATCTGAATTTCTTAAAAGCTATTAATGAACAGCTTTGGTGTGTGACTGACCTAGAGACAAACAATTGTACTTGAACCCCAAATGTCTTTCAGCTGCTTATTTTCCATTTTCAATTGTGAATGTTCATTAACTCATTGGTCTAAGGGCAAATGACATAACAATTGAAAACAAACTAAGTATATTATAGCATACATAAATACAGGTAGTCCTCAACTTATGACCACAACTGAGCCCAAAATTTCTGTTGCTAAGCAAGACATTTGCTAAGTGAATTTTGCCCTGTTTTATGACCTTGCCACAGCTGTTAAGTGAATAACAATGCAGTTGTTAATTTAGTAATATGGTTGTTAAGTGATTCTGGCTTCCCCATTGACTTTGCTTGTCAGAAGGTTACAAAAGGCGATTACATGATCCTGCAATTGTCATAAATATGAGTCAGTTGCCAAACAACACGTGACCAGGGGGGTGCTGCAACAGTTGTGTGTAAAATGGTCATAATTCACTTATTTCAGTGCCGTTGTAACTTCGAAAGTTCAGTAAATGAACAATTGTAAGTTGAGGGCTACCTGTATAAAAGAAATATGTCCATGTAATGCCACTGCTCCAAGAGCAGGACTAGCTCCCATCAGCTTCTGGGTAAAATTTAAGGTGTTGGTGGACACTTTTAAAGCCCTACATGACACGGGACCCAATTACTTGCAACATTGCCTATCCCCAATAGTTTCTGCCCATTGTACTAAATCTGGCAGGGTATTATTCTCCGTGTCCCCTTAGTGAAACAGTGTTGCCTGGGGGGGGGGGAGAGGAGAGAACCTCAGAAGCATGTTTTCTCTGTCCTATCACCTGCCTTATGGAACAGCCTCTTCCCTCGTTGTCTCAACCAAATGATGAAGACCTGGCTTTTCCCACAGGCTCTGGGATCAGGATGTTGATGGAGCTGCACCAGGTCTTTGGTGGATGAATGTAAATTTTATCAGGGTTTCAATGTGGATTATTGTTTTAAATGGTCTTTTTATATTGCAATCTTATTGGGGTTTAATTTTGTTCTCAACCCAGACTTCCTTCTAATATATAGACAGTTAAATAAATTTATTTCATTCATTAATTAAATATAACACAGTAATACAATAACTGTTTGGCAGTTTAAATGTTTGTGATAATTTCCAACATAGCAGCTGCCACAACAACCAAGCAGATGTAAATCTTACAAGAACCACACCTGTTTTAGTGTTCTCTCCATGTCAATTCCTTGGCTCCATGGTGCAGCTGGATTTGCAAGACAATCCCCAGCATTTCCTCTTCGAGAAATATCTATTTTCTGCTTTCGAAGATTTCGGAAAGTCTCAGCCATCACAAGTACTCCATCATAAGTCAGAGCAGAGGTATACTAATCAGATGGAAAAATTGTAAATCAATTATACTTAGCATTACAATTATGTTCAAAAATAAATCTATTAAACCTTTGATTTCTCAATTGACAAGCATCAGTTCAGCAAGCTGAGAAAGATTTCTTAGTAAACAAGGATGATAAGATCACCGCATTCTTAGGACATTAATATGAAGTTTAATTCTGAAGTTATGTTGTTTAAAAGGCTACAAAAAGTTACTTTAGAAATTTCAAAAGGACTAGAATAAAATGGAAAGTTGGACTTCCCATAAAATGTACTTTTGGTCAGATAAGATTGGATCTAAGAAGAAAGAGTCAATCCTTTCAAGAAGGCAAAGCCAATAATATGACTTTATGACCTGTCCGTGAAAGTTGCAATAGTTGATTTTGAACATACCAAAACTGATAGAAGTTGCATAACAACCAACTATGAATGGATAAAGTAAAAAAATCAGAATAATTATAAAGAAATAAGATATTTGGGAATTCTTGATTAAATAGCCCATAGGGAACAACACATACAATAGCAAAACTCTTTTAAACTCAGTTCACTAATGAATATTAAATACGTTTCACCATAACTGGAAAGAGTTGTTTCACTCAATCTCAAAAAGGACAACAGAGGGAATATCTGTATTCAGGGTTGAACTGTGGAGTCCTTGGTGCTCTCTAAGCTAAGCCCTAAGCTCAGTTATTTGCTTGCAGACATTTCACTACCCACCTATGCAACATCATAATTTGTTTCTTATTATGATTCAACCTCCAAGTGAAGAATGATAACATTCTGGATAAGGAATGGAATGTATCAGTCCCTGTAACAAGCCTTAGAATGATTATCAAAGACATCCTTGACTAAACTCCATCACATCTATAACCAGAAGAACTAAGACTAATATTACCACCAAAATTATATTTATCTCAGTGCTCTCAGCTTGGTCAACAGTGGGATAAAAGCCCCAGGCTGGGGAAAAAAAAATATGAAGATTAAGTAGAAGGGGTAGGGGAACCTGATTAACACATAAAAGTCAACAGATCTTCACAATATTAGGCAGTTACTTATGTTTGTAGTATGGTTGAACTCAAGGTTATTTCAGATTTTAATGTAGAATAGAACCTTAGGGGGAGTTTCTGATCCTGGGTATTCTCTCTGGTCCAGTTTCTTCCACCGTTGCGTGAGTTTAGAAACCATAGGTGTATTGAAGTCCACTAACTGAAACCCTGTGATGTTGGCTCCTCCATGCATAAATCTCTCCAGGGAAATATCTTTGAATCCCTATGAAAATAAATTTCCATCATATTGTATTTTCATACAGCATGTCATTAAAACTTTTTCACTGGTATTTAGTCATTACAATAGTTAAGTTAAAAAGTTATATTTTATTATTCAACTATTTTAATCTGATCATCAGGTGTGTAAAATAAATATAATTGTTCCATTTTCTAATACAACATAATGCATTTATTTATATGTAGCATTACCCCCTCAGAGGCCACCAAAGCCTAGGTGCTCCCAGCCCCACTATCCTCCGTCATGCTCTGCAGCTGTGCTCTTAAGGTGTTAGTGTGGTGTCTTTTCTAGCAGAAGCTCACACGAAGTGAGAAGGTGGCAGACTTTCGTCGTCAAAGGGGGGGGGGACTTTCAGGAACAAAGATGATCAGCCCCTAGCCCTGATAGTCAATGCGTAACAGTGTTTAACAGCCCCAGGCAGTCATAGCAGAAATAGTTAATGATTTCACAGCGACTGTTTGGAAACAAGTGGGGTGGGGAAAAACCCGGCTCCAGGCAGCGATAGGAACACGAACGAAGGTAGTTAGTGTTCTGCAGTAACAGCTCACCCCGCAAGGGCAACTCCCCACAATGTCTATAACTTGCACAAGTAACAATAATCAAAGTTTGGATGGCCGGTAGTCTCCAAAGCAGTAACGACCAGCCTCTCCTTCTCTTCTGTCGTCGCTCGCAGTCTCAGGTCTCGTCAGTATCAAAACCCCTCCCCCCTTTCATTTATTGTTAAAATCTGAATTTAGCAACCCCAGCAACTTTCTCTCTCCTCACTCTCTCTCTTGCCTCTGCTCGGGATATCCCCCCCTGTGAAAGAAAGCAGTAAAATTCCACCTTCTCACATTCTCTCACTCTCTCCATCCCTCTCCTTCACAGAAAGGGATCAGCTAAAACCTCAAATCCCTCTTCGACTTCACCTGGTCTCTCTCCGACAACAGCCACAGCAACCACCCCCACCCCCTTTCTTTCCTCCTTTTTCTTTCCTTCTGCCCGATCCACACCCGCCGTGCCCCAAACTGGCAGTAGCTGTCCGAGCTTCCCTCTCCCCGGCCAGGCTCCTGCAAAGCCTTTCAGCCAGCCCCGCTACACATATATATTTTGTATAATTGTACACTGATATAATTCCAGAGCTGGCTCCACATTGACTCATATTTAACACAGACTATTGAAAATAACCAGTTTTATTGCTTCTATTTTCCCCTTAAAGGCATCCCTGAGGCCATGAGATCTTTCTTAGATCTCTCCTCTAGGGATGGAGAGAAAAGTTTGTATAGTATTCATATATTCTCGCATAGTCACTGCAAAAACCTTTGTGGCATTTTTTCTCAGGCTTGAAAATGGGACAAAATATGGTGTTCAGCCCTTGTCCCATACTTGTCACAAACTGCCTAGTGTGCATCAATTTCTTGCTGTAGGCTAGTATCCTGGTTTTAATGGGAGTGAAGCAAACTACCCGTAGGATGAAAACCAGATTGTTCTTTCTTGCTTAGTATGGACAGGGAGATTTGGGCTCTGTCAGATACTCAATAATTGGCTTTTTCCATTGCAAGCAGTCTCATTCCAGCCCAGCAATATTGCAATTGCCAATACAAACACAAACATATAAAAATTAAATTATTATACTAGAACTATCTAATTAAGTATAAATATTTGAAAATGAGTTCACAGTGGAAAAAATAATAATGTACACTATATCTTATACTAATAGCTGCAGAAAATAATTACTAAGCTTTTTTACAAACTTTTCTTTATTAATCTGATTTGCATAGATGTTAACATTGCATAAACAATGTCAACATTACTGCAATGTATCTTATTATTATTTTAGAAGCAGTATGATAAAGTGGAGAGAGAAATTTGCAATGATTTTAGCATCTATCAATAAATTGACAATACCTGTTTAATTCTTAGTATCACATTTAAAAATGTATCAAATATAAAATATTAACATTGTCAGTAATTGGATCATTTCAAAATGTATTATTGATATTCTCTTTACTGATCACATCATTCATTTTTATTTTACAATCATACATTATGTTGATATAGGGAGTAACTCATTCATATATAAAACAAGCTTTGAAAATATAAAAGTGAAAAAAAATCAGAGAACAGCTTTTTTCATTAATCATTATGCAGATATGTTCTTGGGAAACTGTAGAATAGTATGTTTTCTAGTTATTTATTTCTATTTATTTATTTTCTATTTATTTATTTAATGTATCACCTTTATTTAATACTTATTTATTTAAGTCAACTTGAGAGTAAGTTCAATAATTTACTTTTTATTGCTTTCATTTAACTTCTACATTTTTGAAATTTAGTTTCTTAAAATGAAATACAGTATATAAATTACATATTTAACAGTAGCAAATAATTGTAAAATATTCATTTTTGCTTTTTGCAGGAAAAATTGGCATTTCTGTAAAGAAATAGATAGCTTTTGTTTTTCTTTTCTCTTACCTGCTATATTTTGTTATGGTAGATCAGGACAGTTTATTGTTATCATTAAAATTAATGGGATTGCACTTGTGTAACATTTATACATATACATTCAAGATGGTATATAATTTACATAAAACCTAGTAGATGTTATATCAACACACACATACACATTCATTCATTCATTCATTCAGAGTACTCATTGTCAATCGCTGGGGAAATCAGGAGATTCAGGCAGTTCGAATGGGTATAAAGATTTATTGCAAGCTTAAGCTCTCTACAAGAATCTGAGCTACTAGGGGTCAAGGGAAATGAGTGGGAATTAAGAAGGCATGGAAGGTGATCTGGGCTTAGATCTCTTGTAGATGCTTAGGGACTCATGACTGAAGATGCGTCCCTCGTGCTCAACCTGGTCATCTCCTACACTCAAAATCAGCAGGAGGGTTGATGGACCATTATAATGCAAATCCTGTTCCTTTTGAACATGGACTATGCAGGTACAAAGGGAGGAGGGTGTGGAAATTGCATTGCAACACTCTTTGCTATCTTGCGTATCTCCACCATCATCACTAGATGAAAGGAATGCTCTGCATGGCCTTTCCTTGAGATATGGTCACAAGGACTAGTGATAAAGAGACAAGTTTCAGGGAGGAAAGCTAAACAGAACCAAATCAAAACATGGTTTTAATGTATTAGCGCTACATCAGATGAAGGCAGGAATTTCAGCTCAAAGTTAACTATGAGATTTCAATTTTGATCACTGAATCAACACCATATTTTCCTTTTCTGTGGTTAATTATCATTTAACTAGCTTGGTATGAAATTAACTATATAAAGGGATTCTTACCAGATTTGCAAGAATGTAATGATAGCCTTTAACATGTTTTCCAACACTCACAATCTGTAGAAAGATGGGGTAGAAAAGAGAAAGCAATGAACGGTATCCTATTCAAAGGAATAGTTATTACTTATAATATGTTGACGTTATTGTACACCTTCATCAAAGATAGCTTAAACATTTGAATGCTTAAATAATGGATATGAAAATATGAGAATACACACTTGGCTTTTTAAACTACCTTTCTGTGTGTGTGTGTGTGTGTGTGTGTGTGTGTGTGTGTGTGAGAGAGAGAGAGAGAGAGAGAGAGAGAGAGAGAGAGAGAGAGAGATTGGGAAAATGCTGTTGACATATCCCCTAACTTCAACAAAGCATTCAACAAAGTGCCTCATTAATAAAATTATAAGTTGCAGGGTAGATGATAAAAAGATGGATTTATTTGGCTAAATGATCTCTCCCAGTCTTGAGCACTGAAGACTGGTTTCACATCTGCTTAGAAAGCAATATCAAATGAGATGGAATGAGGCTTAGTCCCAGGCCTTGAGTTGATCAACATTCTTATAGATCAGTGGTTCTCAACCTTTTTAATGCCGCGACCCCAACCGGTTGTAAGTCGAGGACTAAACCGGTCGTAAGTCGAGGACTAAACCGGTCGTAAGTCGAGGACTACCCAACCGGTCATAAGTCGAGGACTTTCCCTGCTCGGGAGCACCGCGCATGCGTGGTTCTGCCCCCTGCGCTGGCCGAGGCGTAGCTGGCAAGTGGCAGAGACGGAGCAGGCCGACCACCAGCTGGCCCAGTCCAAGGGAGGTAAGGCACCTGCCGAAAAAGGGGGAAAAAAATGGTGGACAAAAAAAATGGCGGACAAAAAAAATGGCGGACAGCCTTGCTTGGCGACCCCCATGAAATGGTCGATCGACCCCAAATGGGGTCCCGACCCACAGGTTGAGAACCACTGTTATAGATAATGGGATTGAGGAGTGGCTAACACTTTAGAACAGAGGTCCCCAACCTTTTGGGCACCAGAGACCGATTATGTGGAGAGAGGTTTTTCTCAGAGGGGGTGTGGTTTTGTGTGCTGCCTGCATCCAGCAGATGGGGCTTTGCTTGTTTGTGCAGCCCAGTTGCTGGCATCATAAATCCACAGACTGGGGTTTGGGGATCCCTGCTTTAGAAGACAAAGGAAAGATTCAATCTGAGAAATGGAGCAATGGGTCAAAATGAAAAGGATAGAGTGTAACATCAAGGAATGCATTTCTCCTGTATAAAGGATGTGGAGACCTGATAGTGGGATATAGACAAAGGATCTGAATATCTAGTACATCACAAGCTGAACAGGAGCAACAATGAAATAGTTTAAAAGTCAAATGCTATTTTCAGTTCCATTAAGGGACATATATAATCCATATCAGGGGAATAGCAACAGCACTTAGAATTATATACCACTTCACACTGCTTTACAACCCTCTCTAAACAGAATCAGCATATTGCCCCCAACAATCTGGGTCTTCATTTTACTGACCTCAGAAGGATGGCAGGCTGAGTCAACCTTAAGCCAGTGAGAATCGAACTGCCAAACTGCAGGCAGTCAGCAGTCAGCAGAAGTAGCCTGCAGTACTGCATTCTAACCACTGCGCCACCACCGCTCTTTAGGAAGCAATTGTTCTATTTAACTCTGCATTAATCAGGCCTCACTTAGAATATTGCATCCATTTCTATACATTATTGTCCTAGAGCAAAGTCAGAGGAGAGCTACCAAGATGGTGAGTGGACTGGAAATCAAGTCTTGTAAGGAAGGGTCAGAGGAATTGGGTAAATTTAGCTTGCCAAATGGAAGGTTGAAGAAAGATAAAACAATAATCTCCAATCATCTAAAGGCTTGTCAGACAGAGAAGTGCTTCTATACTGTAGTGCAGTAATTCTCAACCTTTTTAATGCCACGACCCCAACCGGTCGTAAGTCGAGGACTAAACCGGTCGTACGTCGAGGACTAAACCGGTCGTAAGTCGAGGACTAAACTGGTCATAAGTCGAGGACTACCCAACTGGTCATAAGTCGAGGACTTTCCCTGCCCGGGAGCGCCGCGCATGCGTGGTTCCGCCCCCTGCGCTGGCCGGGGCGTAGCTGGCAAGCGGCAGAGATGGAGCAGGCCGACCACCAGCTGGCCCAGCTCAAGGGAGGTAAGGCACCCTCCGGAAAAGGGAAAAAAATGGCGGACAGCCTTGCTTGGCAACCCCCGTGAAATGGTCGATCGACCCCAAATGGGGTCGCGACCCATAGGTTGAGAACCGCTGCTGTAGTGGAAGGACAGGGAGAAGAACCAATGGACCGAAGGGCAGAGAAGTAAAATCAGTTTATATATTTTCAAGAATAATATCAGAATATTTCTTACACAGAAGTCTTATGAATTGGTATATTCCCATTCACTGGAAATCTTCAAACAGAGGCTGAATAATCTCTTGTCAAAAGGTTTTAACGTATCTTGCACTAAGCAGATAACTGAAGTACATTATGACCTTTGGATCACTTTGAGTTCTGTGATTCTGTAATTTGGTGAATTAAAAAATCCCCACAAAGGCTTCCAAATAGGGGGCTGATAAACTGCAGACAACCACTAGATAGTAAAAACAAATTAGAGTTCTCTTTATCTCTGTGCTGCCATGTGGCAGCTGTACAACTCTTTGCAACTCAAGACTTGGTAGTCATATTCCCCACGCTCTTTGAGAAGAAACAGAATTTACAGTGTAAATCTTGCAATGGAAAGGAAATTGAATTGAATGACTTGGCTTTTCCTTTCTAATAAATTCCATCATTTAATTTTTAAAGGCTTCTTTTTTAAATATATTGGTTGTAGACTGCCCTGAGGGTGTATGTTTTTATAACGATGTATGCAGCTTTTAAATACAGAAGCAAATCAAGATGAATATCTCTTTATCCCGCCCTTCTCCTTACGCCCTGAGTCTGTAAGGAGAAGGGCGGGATATAAATTAAATAAATAAATAAATAAATAAATAAATAAATAAGTGTTCATATCTTGCTCAAAATAGTGCATTCCCTTGGTAGCATGAAACATTTTTCTCATTTAACTTTGCCTCTTTGCCCATGTTTAAGATAAACTTTTTCTGAAAGCTACAGCTCCTCATAATAAATAATGATTATGATATGGAGGAGTCTGTGATAGAATTCTGTAACAATCCAGAGAGGAGAAGGAAAAACAGCATAGGTTTCTCCATCTTCTGCAGTGATGCTTACATAATATGATAATGAAATGTTAGCAGCCCCAAAACGTAGCTCAGAAAAATCTAGCAACATAATTCCGGACACTGTTAAATGTAAAGTAGTGCGGAAGGGTCTAACAAATTAAAAAAAATATGGGACTGAAGTGCCAATATTGCAGCAAAAAAGACCAGCAATATAATTTTTTAAGATATGACATTTCTATGCATCACCTGAAGCAAGGATAAATCTTCCACAAAACCATCTACAAAATATTTTAAGAGTCTCTGAGCAGAGAAGAAGGGGAAAAAAAAGACGATTCTCCAAGCACTGGCAAATGTTCAGTACAGCTGCAGTAGCACTGAAGCGTGTCTTTAGAAAAAAATACTTTGTGATAGAACGGGTTCTAGAGATTCACTAAAAGGGGCAATTGACACTGAGATTTTCTTTCTAGGAGGAAAAGCAGGAGCTATGAGTAGGAGGAAATCAGCAGGGCATGCCACATTGGACGATGTGCAGTTTGTCTCAAATGTAGAAGCACAACAAAGAATTACAACTATCACAAAGTATGCAGAGTATATGAAAAATGTATCAGAAAACACAAAGAAAGATTTTCCTGATTTCCCCCCCCCCATGATATTGTGCTCTTTTTGATTTCTGCTTTTCACAACCAAGTTCTAAGAAAAGTGCGCCTGCATTCACTACAAGAGATTCTATAACCTCCTGTCAAGATTTAACTATCTCAACAATCTATCCTGATTGTGTGTCGCTACATGTGGACACTTAAAGTAGGAATTGGTACGAAAAACCAGTAGTTCTGTCTTGATCTTGGTGCACTATCGGAGATAGATCATAAGTATCATTTAGAGAAGATCAATTACAATAGAGCTGGAGGGGACCTTGGAGGTCTTCTAATCCAACCCCCTGCTCAAGCAGGAGACCCTGTACCATTTCAGACAAGTGGTTGTCCAGTCTCTTCTTAAAAACCTGCAGTGATGAAGCACTCACAACTTCTGAAGGCAAGCTGTTCCAACTGGTTAATTGTCCTCACTGTTAGGAAGTTTCTCCTTAATTCCAGGTTGCTTCTCTCCTTATTTTCTATCTGTTGTTTCTTGTTTTGCCTTCTGGTGCTTTGGAAAATAAGATGACCCCCTTTTCTTTGTGGCAGCCCCTCAAATACTGGAATACTGCTATCATATCCCCCTTAGTCCTTCTTTTCTCGAGAGTGGCCATATCCAGTTCCTGCAACCGTTCTTCATATGTTTTAGTCTCCATGCTTTTAATCATCTTAGTTGTTCTTCTCTGCACTTTTTCCAAAGTCTCAACATCTTTTTTGTAATGTGGTGACCAAATCTGGATGCAATATTCAGAGGTGGCCTTACTAAGGTTTTTTAAAGTGGTACTAATACTTCATGTGATTCATGTGATCAACAACAACTTCTTAAAAATTTAAAACACTGCAATAATTCCTACTGTAAATGATTGTTACAAATACAACAGATTAACAAAGTTGGCCTATATTGTCAACATCACCATTCCACCAATGGTAGTGATAGTGATGGAGGTGGGAAGGTGGAAATATGAGAGTAACAGTTTTGAAATCTGAATTAAGAGTTATGTATTAAAAATTCATAGCTTTTTCTCTTAGTCACTGTACCTCTCTGGCATTTCAATCTATAGCAAATTGGTATATTAGTATCCATAACATGTCAGAATAATTTATTTCTTATTGTCAATAGTTGAATAAACGATTGAGAATTCTGTGAGGCTACACAGGACCAACATAGGCAGATGTTCATCACAACACAGGCAGATGTTCATCTCTTGAGCTCATTCAAGATAACCTT